CCCATATCATATCTACTATTATAGGCTACCTCTACGTCGTAAACACCTCAAAGTGCAGCGGCCTGCCGTTACGGCCTCGCGGCTGCAGTAACAAGGAATGTCATTCGTTCTTCTGCGAACAGTGTGCCGACGCAAAGATATGCGCCCTCTTCATGCCCCCCGTGGTCCCATGTTTGTGGCCCTCGCTTCATTAGCCTCTGACGCGTACAGCCATGACGAAGCGACCGTTACCCTGCACCCGTTCCACCAACTGCCTTTCCTCTCCGACTACGGGGATGGCCGTGGCGGAGCGCGCGCAGAGTCACCATTATCTGACTGCTCGTTCTCGTTGTGCGTCCTACCACCACATCTGAATGAGAGAGCATTCTCAGACTTAGCCTCCTAAGACCGAAACAAATGCCACTTCATCATCCGACACTGTGCATAGCACCACCGTGGCAGGCACACCTCGACAAACCGACACCAGTAACACGACTCGCACGAGCAACGTACGCACACGCACCACGCCACCACGCGACTACGCACACGGCCACACGCACACGCACAACGCACGCACATCGCATCCATATCGCCTCCACACGCGCACACGCACACGGCCACACACACACACACACACACACCACGCAACGACGACCCCAGGCGAGGCAAGCTCATGCGGTCACAAATGACCCTATGTATAGCAGCCACCGCTTCTAAGTCTTGAAAAACCCCCGCCCCAGTTGTTCATGGATGACGGTTCAACCAGCGTTTTGAGCTAGGAAATTACTCTGTTGAGAATTAAATGCTTTGGAGCGTACACAATTGCCACACAGGTTTCAGCAACAAACAATATGAATAATGTCTAGGGCGGCAACATTCGATCGATAGTTTACCGCGTTCGGACACCTCGCGTGCCATCGCGTATTCTGGTGTTCAAGATTCCACAGGTTTCTCCTCGCCCTTTGTCCAGTAATTCCCATTTCTGTGTAGTTCGTATCGGCGCTTGGACACCACCGCGACGACCTGTAATTACACAAAGGCAGTGACAGCTTTTGAAGCATTGAATCAGGGTCTCTCCCACGATCCCGATCGACATCAGTTTCGCGAGGCGCCACCTATTGAAGAAAGTCACTCCCCGACACACGAAAAAACGGAAAGTTCTGAATTCAACCAGTAGCCGCGTTCGCCAACATTCCGCCATAAATTAATCGGATCGGCACCCCAAACAGTGAGTACCCGCTACAAAATCCCCTCTCCCTTGCAAGGACTGGCTTGATTCCTTAGCGCCAGCAACAGCCCCCGGAGAGAGTCCGGCGAGGCGCAGTGCCCCTGATAACATTTTAACAAACTGTGTCCCTTAGTGCCATCATATCAATAACCTCCCAATAAATTAGTTCTTCGGCCCATACCCAATGCAGACCGACGACTATAACGGACCTCTATTGAATTGTCTTTTTTAACAGGACCAGGATTTTAATATTCGTGATCTGCCTTCTGCTAGGTAGAACTGTATACGCTTAACTATTCTAGTAAAGTAAGATAGAGGGAAGAAACCCTGAACCACATATGAAGAGAGATCAAACAAGATTAGAGCCTTTCTCGCGGTCACATCTTGAGAGCACTTTATAAGTAGAGCCGAGAGAAGAGACCAAACACGCCGAAGCTATTAATATCGAGCTGCCGGGGAGGTGATAATGACCTGAGGAGGAGGAACCTGGAGCGACACTATGAGGCGTCGGCGCCGGCTACAGACCCTGACCCTGAGAGTATACGAACATGAGACACGGCCGGCAGAGACGGCGGGAAAAGAGCCGACGCACTGAAACGGGCGACAGGGGTAGAGCGCACGAGAGAGAGACGAGGAAAAGCAGAGACGCTGGGAGTGAAGACATCCAAGCACTGCTGAAGTGTCCAATGATAAGCAAACAAGCACTACAACAAGAGCGAGAAAGGATGAGCGAGAAGAGATGTAGGAGAAAACCCCGTACTGTATCGGCGGTGTCGCGACCATACTCGGTACTTGATGGCGTCTTCCCTTCATCGCCTCTTTTCGCAAACGGCGATAAGGGCTGAAATGCACGAAGCGAGGACGAGTACGTGCGACAGTGGCGCAGGCCTGGCCTCGCGCCGGGAGAGAAATCCCGTGAGAGAACGCTAATTGCGCTCCACCGAATGTAGGTGCCTTTTGGCTGACAACTTCGAAGCCTTTTGTGAGCGCGCGCAACCCTCCATACGTGGGCCTCGGCTGGAGGTCAGGAGGTGCGCCGCTTGGTTGAACCCTCTCATCGCGCAAGCCCGAGCCCTGAACTGATGATCACACCGGCCCTGGCAGTTCATCTCGCCTCCCCCTTCCTATCTCCGCTGCTCCCGACCCGCTCCTGCGTGTTACTTCCCAGCTTCCCCGCTCCGTGGTCCCTCCCGTCCCGACTGTCTCTCCATTCTCGTCTGATCCTTCATTCCCATCCATCAGTCTACCCTCTCTCTCCCACCCTCTTCTCCCTACTTACTCCTCCTTTCGCATATTCTCTCGATGTACTCTTCTCTCCTCGTTACTCTCTCTTTTCCTGGTGCATGATCCTGCTTTTCTCTCCTCGGCTCAGTCATCGCCGGGTCTACCTCACCCCGTCCGTCCTCTCCCTCCCGCTTTTCTCGCCACGTCTTACGGTCCGGCCCGTGGTCCGCCTGTTCCAGTCGGCGTTAAACCCTCTCTGGTTCCGCGGTGCGTCGCTCCTGGCCCGCTGTTCCGTTCCTACCTTATAACAAGTTCCCGGTGCTCGTTGAAACCGATGTCTCCTGTTGCTTCTCCAGTACGATCTTTATACAGACTCCCAATATACTTCTCACTCTCAATGCATATCATTTTACTGAATCCCAGAGAAACATTTCGATCTCTCTCGTGATTCTTTCGTCTCTCTTATCCCGTGTCCCCTCTTCGGCTCGACCTGCTGAGCGCATGATATAACATCCCGTCGCGGACAGAATTAGGGAGATTGAGTGTGTGTGCTGTGTGTGTGTGTGGGTGGCCGCGTACCGATACATTGTGGTGGGCAGTGATACGTGAGCGATCGGATATTGTGTAATGTGTACTATGGCTGGCCATGTTGCCCGCCGCGCCGTGATTCGGTTGCTCTGTGCGTTCGGCTGTCGCTTGTTGCGCTACTCGCATGTGCGCCGCCCGCCCGCCTAGTGTGGGGTTGTGCGTGTGTGGGTTGAAGCTAAGGTTCGCCGCCCCGACCCATCGTGGGCTGAAGTATTTAGTATAATAGTCAATCATAAATGTTGGTGGTTGACGTACTTCTTGTGAGCGCGCTGCCTCGGATTCCAGCGTTCTCAATCCAATCTAGTTAGCAGCTTTACGCGTCATAACTATGTATTGCCTTTCGAAAAACTTAATCGGGATGCCTGCGATTTTATTGCATCAGTAAGCGGGCAAGCGTGTATCGCTGACTGCTTCTGTGTAGGGTGGCTGTTTCGTACGGTCACGAAGAGAAGAGACCATACTGATTGTGTATGCACTGTGCACACACACCACACACACACACACCCACCTCATGCATGATGCGTGACACACACACACCACACACACCACGACACCACACGCACACACACCACACAACAACACACACACGCACGCACGCTACGCACGGCTGACGCCACGCTCACACGCTGGTACGCGCTGACCACGCATGTGTTCTGGCGACGCCACTGAGCGCCGTGACGCCACGCACGCACGCACGCCGTGCCGTGCGTTGGTTGAGTCCGGGGCGCACGCACGCACGCACGCTGAGTGCCACGCCACGCCACGCTACGCGGGCAGTGGCACACACACATACACCCCACTACACAACATATGAGTGTATACCTATACGTTGTGACATAGGTGTATATATATAATACGGGGGTGAGTTTTGGATTGTTGATTGTAGTGTGGGGGTGGGAGTAGGTATATATAGTATATATCATATAGTGGGTAGGGTACATGGGAATAAAGAGGGTAGGAGGACGATATATTTGTTATATATTGAGCGCTCTAGTTACTGTGCTTTATAAGGGCATAACGTCATAACATAACAGGTTATAAACGACGCGACACGCCTATACCCTTTGGGTGAAACCCGGCGGGTTCCTTTTGATACTTAGAATCCACTTCAACAATTTCGGCGGTGGTCCTCACTATTGCGCGATGGTGGGGGGGGATTGACAAGTGTGGTTCGCCGGGCGGTGAGTGCGTGTTGTCGTCTTTGCCCGTGGGTGGCGTTTGTGTATGGTGGTTGCAGTTATGATGACCGCTGTCGTAGGTGTGTGTGTGTGTGTGTGTGTGTGTGTTGTGTGTGTGTCGTGTGTGTGTGTGTGTGTGTGTGTGTGTGTGTGTGTCGTGTGTGTGTGTGTGTGTGTGTGTGTGTGTGTGTGTGTGTGTGTGTGTGTGTGTGTGTGTGTGTGTGTGTGTGTGTGTGTGTGTGTGTGTGTGTGTGTGTGTGTGTGTGTGTGTGTGTGTGTGTGTGTGTGTAATCAGTATGTCTCTTTCTTCGAGACCGTATAGATAGAAGCAGTCAGCGATACACGCTTGCCGCTACTGATCAATAAAATCGCAGAATCCCGATTAGTCGAGGCATACATAGTAGACGCGTAGCTGCTAACTAGATTGATTAGAAGCGATCCGAGCACGCAAGTACTAACTTAGACCTCATAATGAGCCCTTCGATCGCTCGTTGATGTATCGGTACGGCGCCGTCGGGGGGAGAGAGAGAGAAAGACAGAGAGAGAGAGAGAGAGAGAGAGAGAGAGAGAGAGAAAGACAAAGAGAGAGTGAGGGGAGAGCGAGACGGGGGAGAGAGAGGGCGAGAGAGAAACAGAGAGAGAGAAGAGGAGGGAGAAGACATGGAGAGAAAGCGAAGGAGGGAGTAAGAGGGAGAGAGGGTGGGAGAGAGAGGTAGAGAGGGATGGATGAAGAGAGAGACAGAGGCAGGGAGAGAGAGACAGAGAAGAAGGGGGAGGGAGAGAGCGCGCGAGAGATCGCATCTACTCTAGTTAGCGCTTGTAACACGGCCTTCACGACACGTCGCACGATCGTCTGCTCGGTGCATTTCAGCTATCGGCGTTTGCGAAAGAGGCGATGAAGAAGACGATCAAGTACGAGTATGGTCGCGACCCGATACAGACGTCGGCTGTTGACTACATACAGGACACGGTGAGTCACCTGTCGCCAGGTCGGCCGTAGTAACGTCTTTAGCCGCGAGCCTCAAGTGTCGCCACCATCGCATTCAAAAATAGTGTTTCCGTCTTTTCGTGCAAATGTGACGCGAGAAACTCTAATGTGATTTTATATGTGGTTCAACGCGGAAATTTACAGAAAGAAGAAAATGCGATTTTGTTTCGTTCGACTATAGATCTAGAAATAAATAACTGCCGCCTTATGTGCTTATGCATTGTGCTCTAAGGTGCGACCGGACCGCTGAACATGATATTTTGTTTGTCGCGAACTGACATTTAAAACAAACATTGTGATATTTTTCTGCTTCGTCTGCTGCAGTTGTCCTGCTGCGGGGGAGAAAATGCCGACGATTGGATCTCCAGCCACTGGTCAACGAAAGATGTTGAGCAGGACATCGGTGTCGGAGAGAAGCAGTTGGTGAAGGTTCCTTCGTCATGCTGTACGGTAGAGGGCAAGAACAGCCACGGCGTCGACTGCGGCAACTTCCAGAAGAACGAAGACCCGTTACTGCACGGAGCCGTAAGCAGGCCTCACTTTGATGTTAGATAGATAGATATATAGATAGATAGGCCGGTATATATATATATAGATAGATAGATAGATAGATAGATAGATAGATAGATAGATAGATAGATAGATAGATAG